AAATATATATATATATATTTTAAACATAAATAACAAAAATAGAAAATTCAATAAATAAAACTGTGGGCATAAGATAAATAAATTGTTTAAATGTTTCAAATACAAAAAAACTGTAAAACTAAATTTGATAAAGTACAAATGAAAATATAGCCTTTTAAAACTTTTGCAACCAGAAGCTGCTCTTCATATTAGTGACAAACAATAACAGTAACAGCTTTTTGACAAGTTGAAAATTTCTTTAAAATACATTCAAAATGTTTAAAAAATAAATTACAAAAATTAATTTAAAGTGCAAATTTAAATATAGTTGTATCTGCAACTGTATTTGATAATGTTTTGAACTTTTAAAATATTTCACAGTAAAAACAGAAGCTGCTCTTCATATTAGTGACAAACTTTTTTGATGAGTTATTCATTTTTGCTTCTACTTTTCATTTAAAATAAGTTTCCATTCTCAGCAGGTTTCTAATGTTCTTCTTCTACATATTTAAAATGCTGTTAAACATTTGAGTGGTGCACTACTGCTACTAGTGGTGAGAAAGTGTATTGCACCTTATTCAAAATCAATGTGAACTACAACATGGGCCCTCTGTGGCCCAAAGTTAAAAACTGTTGTTCTTTTGAGGCCCTCAAGGTGGCGCTAGCAGCCCACAGGTTAAGAATCTCAGATCTAGACGAAGTGGAATAAACTCACCGGGTTCCTCTGCACCAGCTCCTGGTTGTTGGCCACGGCAGTCAGCCAGATGATGGTGATCACAGAGTTCAGGACGAACGACAGGAAGAGGTTTTTGTGCAGGGTGATCCTCTGGCAACTCAAACTTCTGCAAAAGAAATTGGTTTTCCTTCATGCCGCTGGTAACACAGACGAAAACAAAGCCGAAGCGACGGACTCACTTAAAGTGAAAGAAAATGGCGAGGGAGACCAAGAGTGAGACGAGCGACAGGCCGTGTCCTATGAGAGCCAAGTAGAAAAGATTCATGGCGGTCTGGACAGAAAACAAGAAGCAGATTTTAGTTTTTACAGATCTGGACTCGGCGAGGATTGACGTCCGGATGTTACAACGACCCACCACTCTGCCCTCTTTTGTGTACGCGTTGCAGCGGCTGTAGTTGGTCCACATCCGGTTGCTCTCCGGGTGCAGGAACCACTGACCGCTGACCGTGCAAATCTTTGTGACGATTTCTGGAAGACGAGAACGTGGGATCAAAAACTGGAACCTGTTTATTGCCCATTTCATCAAAGTTCCATTATCTGAGTTTAACTGAGTATTTCAAACTGTTGTTAAGATCTCACCTGAAGGGTCAAAATCCATGAAGTAGTCCGGGCAGTGCTGCTCCGAGACGACTCCGGCTTTAGTGTCRTCCCAACACAACCAGCCGTCCCAGGTGCGGTTACACATGGCCTCTGCAACCATCAGAGTTACAGTGAGGAACATCATCTCCTGTCTAACCCCCCCGCGGGTCAAATACCTTCTCTGCTCTGCGTGTTGTCCTTCATTATCTTCTGGTAGCACTCAAACTGAGCTGTGACGATCTTGTTCCTGGTGATTCCTGCATCGTTGGGGTCGGCAGTCTCCTGCTGGCTGCCGTTAGTGGCCATGCTGGCCTTCACTGGACACTGCGAGATCAGAGGGCAGAAAATAAAAAAACAGATCATAAAAAATTATCAGTTTGCTTCCACATATATGATGGTGTATCAAGGCCACACGGCAAGATTTTTTTTTATTACGACAATAAAGTCAAAATATGACATGATTAAAGTCATAATATTATGAATTTAATGTAGTAATATTGGCTTTATTCTCGTATAATGACTTTATTCTCATATTGTGACTTTATTCTCATATTGAGACTTTATTCTCTCATGACTTTATTCTCATATTGTGATTTTATTCTCATATTGTGACTTTATTATCATATTGAGACTTTATTCTCTTATGACTTTATTCTCATGTTATGACTTTATTCTCTTATAATTTTATTCTCATGTTATGACTTTATTCCCATATTGTGACTTTATTATCATATTGAGACTTTATTCTCTCATGACTTTATTCTCAGGTTATGGCTTTATTCTCTTATAATTTTATTCTCATATTGACTTTATTCTTGAATCATGTCTTTATTCTCATATTATGACTTAATTCTCATATTGTGACTTTATTGTCATATTATGACTTTATTCTCATATAGTGACTTTATTCCCTTATTGTGACTTTATTCTCTCATGACTTTATTCTCATATTGTGACTTTATTCTCATATTGTGACTTTATTCTCATATTGAGACTTTATTCTCTCATGACTTTATTCTCATATTGTGACTTTATTCTCATATTGAGACTTTATTCTCTCATGACTTTATTCTCATATTGTGACTTTATTCTCTTATAATTTTATTCTCATATTATGACTTTATTCCCTTATTGTGACTTTATTCTCATATTGACTTTATTCTTGAATTATGTCTTTATTCTCATATTATGACTTAATTCTCATATTGTGACTTTATTGTCATATTATGACTTTATTCTCATACAGTGACTTTATTCTTTTTATAGTTCTATTCTCGTATTATGACTTTATTCTCTTATTGTGACTTTATTATCGTATTATGACTTTATCCTCATATAGTGACTTTATTCTTTTATTATGGTTCTATTTTGTATTATGACTTTATTCTCTTATTGTGACTTTATTGTCATATTATGACTTTATTTTCCTATTGACTTTATTTTTGTATTATGATCTCATTCTCTTATTGTGACTTTATTCTCATATATTGACTTTATTTTTGTATTATGACTTTATTGTCATATTATGACTTTATTATTTTGTTATGACTCTATTCTCATATTATGACTTTATTGTCATATTATGACTTTAATCTCCCAATATTACCACTTTTTTCTCATATGACTTCATTCTCATATTACGACTTTATTTTCGTAATTAAATTAAAATAATCTCAATGTGTGGCCCTAATACTGTCGTACAAATAACATCATTTGTTCACAACGTGTTATTATTATTACCATTGTTAGATTACATAAAAGAACGAGCGCCAGCGTCCAGCTCCACCCAAAGCTGCTCAGCTTCCTGTCRGCCATGTTGGATTCAGCTAACGTTCGACTCTGAAACAAACAGAGAACAAAACAGCTGAAGATACTCCCACACCGAGGCCACTTCACACGTCTTTATCTCTGCTGAAACACGGTGACATCATTAATTCAGCTGCAGAACAACTGAAACCTGTGAGACTCCAGCAGCTGAAACGTGACCGCCTCTACAGGCTGCGTGTTTCCACCTGTCAGCTGTGAGAGGAGAGCTGGAGGCCGCCGGCGACTTCAGAGCTGCTGCATAACAGATGAGTAAAGATCCAAACAGGAACACCTCCCTCAGGAAGAACCRTGTTTTACAAACTACACTGGCTCCTAATCAGTTTACTCATCACTACACTGATAGAAACCACCGGTTTTGCTTTCAGGATTGAGTCTCGTCTCAATCAGAAATGAAATAAATCCGTTTTCATCAACAAGCAGAACTAGTTCACCCCTTTAACGTGAGAAAATCTAATTAAATCTGAAGGAAAACAACGTCTAAACCAACAATTCAACCGACGGGAAAATAAAACCAGAGCAGCTGAAATGAAGGGGTTTTAATTCTGAGCACACGCCTCAGCAAAGATTACACACCCCTGCTGCTCCCCTGATCATTCATTTTCCTGCACAAGCTGATTTTTTTTACCAACCGGAATATAAACGAGCTCGTCTGAGAAGCAGAGACGCAGCTCGTCCTACAGACGAAGCCGTTTAGTTTCTGAGCTGCTGATCGAGAAATGAAATTACGTGGAATACAAATAACTCATTAGAGCTCACAGAAGGAGTTCTCCGCTCTTTTTTTATTTTAAAATGACACAGTTAGTGAGAAGAGGGTCTCTAAGTAGTTTACAATCTTCACAGGCAATCAGAGAAACACTAAATAAAAAAAAGAAGAAGACAAGCTGATGAAACTCAAAATGAACACGATGTGATTTGTTCCTGCTGGAAAGAATCTCATTTCAGTCGTCCATGAAAGTTTGTTAGGAGGTCACAGACGAGATCTGTGTGATTTATTTCATTTCTCACCATCGTTAAGGCAAAATTACATCATAAAGTTTTGATTGGACTGAAAAAACTCAGAAATATTTATTTTCCTGGTGATATCTGATCTAACTGTGATAATCTGATATGAAAACTCTCAGTAGTTATTTAATAGACGATATGAGTCAGCACGGCCCGGTTTGTTTTTACGGGTCGCTGCGTGGCTCCATCATCACATCATCACCCGAGGGGGCGGGGCTTAGGGAGAGAAGGGTAGTAAAACATAATCCACACATTAGAACGAGCCAGGGAAATGTCGGCTGCTTCGTCACGCATGAACGCAAAAACACACAAAAAAATATTTCAGAGCTCCACCCTGCCAAGTTCTCCAGCTGTTAAACCCTGGTTTCTGGTCCGGTGGCGGTGATGGACCAGTGTTTAGGTGTTTATTTCTGCACAACCAGAGGACCAGTTCCTTACATTTCATCAGTTCTCATTCTGAGAGCAGGTGTTTTTCAGGTASAGTAATGTGCAAATATTTATATCACTCCTCCATATTAAGAACAGGTCAAATGATGGATCAAGAAAGTCAAGATCTGCATCCAAAACAAGGCTTAGCAGACCCAGATTAATAATTTGAACACCCGTGCTGCACAATATGCTTTATTACAAATTGGATGCTTCTGTTGTTGGAATCTAATCTGCAGTGATTTATATA